GTAAACAGTTGTAGGAATTTAAAGGCTTATGACTTCCTGAATGAAAGTTCCATCTCCATGCAAAGGATTCCTCGACTCTAAGAGCGCTGCGAAGCTATACAACATTTTTAGACCATTGAGAGGTTCGTGTATGACGTCATAGGTCACTGACCTGACCTGATGTCAAAATGCAGCAAATGCCAAATGTTCAGGCTAAAGTATCAAAGGTCAGATAAGCCAAATGAAAGTTCCCTAATCAGACGTGTTTCGACCCATCGCGACAAAAACAACAGTTATCGCACCAACCCCCTACATCAGGGGAGGCTAAGTGATGAAGCATGTTCATAGCTGATGCGGACCCCCTAGATGGCATCCGATATAATTTTAACCCTCGCCCTGGCAGGGCATTTTTCATAACACGGCCTGGCAGGGGGGGGGGTCGATGCGACCCCCCCCTCGCGATTGGCTCCTATGGCACCTAGAAACACCAAATTTGGTAGGTAGGTGGGCCCCCTGGAGTTCTCGCCCCTGTGCAAATTTGGTTGCTCTAGGTCAATATTTAGGGGGGTTTTGGGGGGTATAAATGTAAAAATTTCGCTAAAAACAGGCCAAAAGTTTTTCGCTTATAACTTTTGATCTAATAAAGATAGAGAAAAAAGAAAAGCACCAGTGAACTCAGCACGTCAAGGCGCGTCGAATGATATACTTTTTAGCTTGCTTAAGTGTACTTAAAGTTTTTTCTTAAATTTTAAGTAAACTTAAATTAATAAATTAAGTTCAAGTTGACCAAACTGCATCATATCGCATATCATTCGATTCGGCTGATCACCAGGAACACAATGGTACCATTTTTTAAGCTCTAGCGTCATTATGTGCCAAGTTATTGGCAAAAACGTCATTTGACCTCAGTTGACCTCATTTGACCTGACCCATGGATAAGTACACCAAACAACGAAGCACCAAGTGACCTGCTGTTAAGTACCGTGGTTTCAAAGCACAAAAGTGATAGAACGAAGCGGATATCTCCAGTATTTTCCGAATTTAGTATTTTCCCATAGGCTTAACATTACGACGTAATGACCTCTAACTGACCTCAGGTCAGTGACCTCAAAAAAACCGGAATATATGTTATACAACTCGGTGAACTTAGCACATCCTGAAAGTTTGAAAGAAATCAGTCGAAAACTGTGAGTTGGACAGGTGCAAAAAGAAAATTGAAATTTGACCATGACCTTGTACCGGTTTTTCTGACCTGGTGACCTGACCCAAGGTCATCCGGACCTGAAATTTTCAGGTCATATGTAAAAAGGTTGCCCCATAGGCTGTGCCAAATTTGGCGGCGCTGCGCGCCGCCGTTTTTACGCCATCTTCGAAAAACCTTAGGGGGGGGGGTCGCATCGACCCCCCCCCTGCCAGGGCGAGGGTTAATTTTGCACAGCGTCATTGTGCTACTAGTGGAACAAATTGAATCAACAGACAGATCGATTTAAAGACATCGGGGCGTTTGATGCACCCTAACCTGCATCGGCTCTGAGGGCTCAACTTGGCCTTTTCTGGACTCTGGGGTCCAACACCAGCCCAAGCCTGTCTTTTAGGGTGGATTGGACCCTGAGGGTCCCATCCTTGCCTCAAGGACCCGCATTAGCCTTTGAGAGCCTAAGTCGGCCTCTGATGGCCTCAAACTGCCATTTTCAGGCCCTGTACTGATCTCTGAGGGCCTTTAACTGGCCTCTGAGGGCACAAACCGACCTTTAAAGGTCCCACACCGGTTTCTGACGGCCCATTTTCTGCCTCTGAGATCCAAGACTGACCCTTTTGTGCCTCTGAGGGCCCCGTACTGGCTTCTGAAGGATCGATGCCGGTCTCTGAGGACCAATGTCAGTCTTATAAGGGCCTCACACTGACATCTGAGGCCCACATTAACCTCTGATGGCTCCAAATTGAGGCCCTATTTAGTCCCCAATCAGCCTATAAGGTCTCTGATGGCCCTATTTTGTTGTGTGGCTGGGGACCCATGGCTTATACTCTTAGGCGTCACGCACTGGCCTCTGAGAGCCCACATCGGCCTCTGGGGTTCCATACGGGCCTTTGAGGCCGCTATGGCCATGGGCCCCTTAACCCGCGCGGGGCTGGGGGGGGTAAATTTTACCCCCCCTCGCGATTTTTTGCGATATCTCAAAAACGGCGGCGCACAGCGCCGCCAAACTTTCAGTACCTTTTCTTACATCAATTTGACACGTTCCCTGAAAATTTGAGCGAAATCCGTCGGAAAATTTTTGAGAAATTGACGTTTTAGTGACGTCATGTTCGTCATTTTCGCCTCAAAAACGGCAAAAGTTCAAACGCCGCTAACATCTTCATTTTTAACCCGCGCCCCGTTGGGCTCTGCCGAGCAACGCGCCCGGTTGGGGGGGGGGGGCATTTTGGCCCCCCCCCCCTAAGATCTCGAGAACCACGCAACATAGCGACAAGCGGTAAACGGCGTTGGATAGCCCCAACGGGGAACTACCTTGTGACCCAATTTTATTGACCTAGGTCAAACCGATGACGTCACAGGTCAGGTCAAAGGTCCAATTTTCACCGTTTACAGGCACTTCAAGAAATGCGTTGTAAAATCGAGTAAAATGCATTTCATTGAAAATCATCGATGGGGAAATGTTCTTCAAACACATATTTTGCTATTTGAGGTCACTGATACCAGGTCAGGTCACAGAGGTCAGGTCACGGGGGGGTCACAATATGAAAGTGTCGTGTGATACATGTTTTATGGTCCATTTTACATGACAAATGCGATTATATGGGTCAGGCAGCCTTTGGGGCCAGCTTAGATCACATTTTGGTCAAGGTCAGGTCAAGGTCAGGTCAAGGTCAGGTCAAATTAGGTCAAATTTCAAAGTTAATATTTTTGCATAAAATGGGTATCAAATCGATGCAGCTCGTCACGGGGAGTTCAATGGTGGTCTTTGTTTTGCCGTACGTGGTCTAGAATTGCTAAAAATTGAGTTCAAAAATTTGACGTCATCATTTTTGAACAGTTTTTTCTTTATAACTTGGCCAAAAAACGAGATATCGATCTGAAATTTGGTATGTATATAGAAGAGCGCTGGGACTATCACATATATTCCGGTTTTTTCGAAAGTCGGAAAATTTTTGGATTTTTTCAAAGTTTTTCTAAAAAAATCAATTTTTTGATTTTTTTTTGGTCAAAAACCAAAAATTTTGAAAATCCGAGATAGCAGTTTTGTAGCGCCGCTTTTTGTCTACTAGACCATATAAAGAACTTTGAAATTGCTTGATAACTGTAGATTTGGTGAGCGTTTAAAGATTGCATGTTTTTTGCTCATTTTCGCTCGAACATGACCTCAGTTTGACCTCAATAACTCCTGACCTAAGGTGACCTAAGACTTGAAATTTTGTGTGAAGGTGTCAAATTGATGCCCGGGAAGGTACTGAAAATTTGGCGGCGCTGCGCGCCGCCGTTTTCTTGCTATTCAGGAAAAACCACAGGGGGGGGGGGGCCAAAATGGCCCCCCCCCAACGGGGCGAGGGTTAAAGGAATCAAGACGTAACAAAAAAGGTTATACGTAATTTTACTTTGTCTATCAAATGGCTATCTCGGTTTTTTTGAAAATTTTGGATTTTGGCCTAATTTTTTTCAAAAAACTGTTTTTTTGGGAAAATCATTATAAAATCCAAAATTTTGAGTCTATCGAAAAAAACCGGAATATATGTCAGAGAAGTGGTCTATGTGCACCTACATACCAAATTTTAGAAGAATCGGTTCAAAAATGTGGGAGTTATTAAAAATTTCATGACGTCACGACACACAAATTTTTTGAAAAATGACTTTTTTGGAAGTTCTAGACCTCGTACGGAAACAAGAATAGCACCATTCGATTTGCCGTGAAAAACTGCATCAGATAGACACCTTTTTAGGCCTTAACAACCAACTTCAAAATTTGACCTCACTTGACCTGACCTTGACCTGACCTCGACCTGACATTCATCCAGAGGTGGTCCATATCACTTATTGAGTGTGCCTATTGAATTCTATGAGTAAAATGACCCATAAAACATGTGTCGCACATGCCCTTTTCTATATTTTGTTTTTTGGTGACCTGACCTGACCTGACCTGACCTTGACCTTGACCTTTGAATGATATTGTATGCAGCGAATATTGTCTTGGTAGCCTAAGAACACGTTTTGGGCGATCAGTCTCAGTCCATGACTCCATTCTTCGGCAAATACGGTGCAAGGCCGATACTGTAGAAACTTGTAATTTGTACCCTTGACCTGACCTTGACCTTGACCTCAAACTTTAAATTAAGTACATGTTTTTAGTAGTTCGTGATGAGAGCTTTCGATTGGCGTTTGAATTTTCCAAATCGGACCGTTAGTTCGGGAGATAACAGGGGGGGGGGGTAAAATTTACCCCCCCCCCCCAGCCCCGCGCGTTCGGCTGGAGACCCCAGCCCCGCGCGGGTTAAGCTAGCACCGCCCCCCCCCCCTCCGAGGGTTGGCAAAGTTGCCAAGTTGCCCCCACCCCCAAACGCCAAGTCTGCTACCGCCCCTGCATTCAGATGCATCCATTGTAAAAAAATAACCTGCACTGCAGTGATTGGGGGCTGGGGCACTGGCTGCTAGCAAGTTTTTTTTTCCCGGAAAACCGAAGTGGTAGTTCCTACCGGACGTCTGGCCGGACCTTTATTTTTGCATTTGCTTCTGGGTGGGCAAATCGACGCCACTGGGTGGGCAATTGTGGTGACTGGGTAGGCATTTGCCCACCCAGTGGGTATGTTAGAGGAGGCCTTGACGTTACACTAATATTCCACGCATATGCCACAAGCATGAACACTATCGAAGTGCATGCATTGAATCACTATCCCCTCTCACCACAATAATATACACGATCAACGGTGAAACTTGCTAGTTGAGGCTGATCAGTTCGTCCATTTGCCGTCCCCGCTGTCCATTGTATGTACCGGCATTACCAACATGTGTGACCTGCGTTATACCTCACCTCTGACATTGAGGAAGCTGAGACCCTCCGGCAGCTGTCCCCTCAGTCGCGGGAGGTCGGCGGCGGTGACTGATAGGCATCGCAGCTCAGGGCACCTGGTGAGGGGCTCCAGGCTGCCGGCCGTGAGATCAGGACAGTCTGGAAAGCACACAGACACACATACAGACAGGATCAGCCACCTGGGGTAATGTTGCCGACGCAAAGGCTCATGCATGATAAAAACGGAATAATAACACTCACGCATTCATCGGGTCTAAAGATAAGGGCACAAAACTGCTCTTATGACCTGTATGTGCAATCCGTTCAGCTAATAGCAAAAATTTTGTCGCAAATGGTAACAACATCGACATCAGTAATGTAAATGTGCACCTGAGTCAGTGAGCTATAAATGTATCGTGAGCTTGATAAATATGACTTCCTCGACTTACACAAATTGTATTAAATCACTATTCCCAAAAACATTTGATATGTGAGGTACAATGTTTTGCTGCATTACATAGATCACCACTTTCACGTGCGGTCATAGCAGCACACCTTAATTCGGTGTCCGCAATTCCCTGAGCCCGTATATCAGCGACCTGTCCGTGCTGCCGCTGCTCACCGTATATCTCCAGTACTGTGACCGTCCGTCCCAGGTCAGCCAGGTGACTGATGGTGTCGGCAGCCACCCCCTGGAGCGACACTGACAGATCATCATCCTCGTCCCATTCCGGCCACCTCGGCTCCGTCACCTTCGGCCCTGTCGGACAGAGCTGTGTCAGCTGACAGCAGTCGGACAGAGCTGCCGCCAGCTCCCCGCTGCAACACTGACACCAGAGAGTCAGACACTGACACAGCCAGCACTGACACAGCCGAGCGGCTGGACAACGATATTTGGCACCACCTATCATATGCAAATGTATGAATATCAACAACATAAGTAACTGCGACATTCCCTCAGCCCAGCACTTGCGTTATAAACAGTAAAGGTATAAAGGTAACATCAAATTGGCAGTTTAACGAATTACGCTACTCGAAGCGGTTGCAATGTAATCTGCCCTCATCTATATGACTTTTCACCATATATTATATGCATATATACTTAACATATGTATTTGTATGCATTTGTATGTTTATGTATTATATGCAATGCATACACTGCATACAACTGTACCTATGCATTGCAAGTTGCAACCCATCCCCCAATATCATGCACATGCAACGCTGTGTGTTGTTGGCTGAATTTGATCGGTTCGTCCATTTGCCGTCTCCCTGTCCATTTGTATATCTATATGCATTGTCCATTATACCGGCATTGCATGTAAGTATGATCCGATCCGTGGTAGCTCACCTCTGACATTGAGGCGCCTGAGGCCCTCCGGCAGCTGCTCCCTCAGTCGCGGGAGGTCGGCGGCGGAGACTGACAGCCGCTCCACAGTCTCCCGTGAGATCTGCAGCTCCGTCAGCTCGCTGTCACCGACTCCGGCCGGAAGGATGATAGTGTTTGGGCCCACCCTGATGATGGCACCACGAAGTTGACTTGGAATAGTAGTAACTTGTGCTGGAAAGGTGATTGAACCAATGTCAGGCATTTGTCTAGGTCAAACATTGTACACTTACCTAGAGGTGTAGAAAACACAAAGTAAAAACTGTTTGTGGCTACAATGCTGTGATTATTCCGTGTCTGAGTAAATATGTATGTATTTGTTGAATATTATGTTACGGAAAGTCGCCGTAACTTATGAAATTCACATCATTTTGATAAAGTACAATGATAATGGGTCTTTGACATATAAAACAAAATCACCACTAATAAGTGCATTATATTCCGAACTAGGCATATTTTCATGATGTCAATTGATCAATATGACAGTTTTTGAAACCTTTTCACCTAAGTATTTTGTTCAGCACTTATGTGTAGCTAATGATAACAATTTTGTATCGTTATAAAATTTGTAGCGTAAATATTACGTCCAATAGAGGCCAAAATCATTGACCATCACCATTCACCACACGGCACACGACTTGTCATCCTACAGCTTGCCATGGCTTATGGCTTCCGTCTTACCTTAGGATGAGGCAGCATTACCTGCAATACATGTAATATGTGTTGTATCCAGTTATTCTTGGTTTGATTTAGGCTTCAGATTTTCAGGGATAAACTGCTTCTCCACGTTATTTATGAACATATGCTAGAAAAAAGCAGTTCCTTAGAGCAAAAATAACAAGCAAGGAGCGTTGCCGCCGGCCAGTTTTCCTGTTCTTCGTGTCCCTGTGTCGCCCCCTGCCCCGTTCAGGAGCGCCCGGCAGCGCCACCTGCACCTGACCAGTCCGGCAGCGTTTGGGGTCGCCGCGCACCGCCGACAATCAGCTGACGCGGCCGGCGGCGCGTCTCAAGGTCACTGGAGGTCAGCCGGGCCGCGGCCCGCCGGGTTGACCGTGACGTCACAGCCAGCGAACGCTGAGCGCCGGAACAGCTACTGTTGTTTATCCCTTCCTAGCCATTCATATATGAGTAACTTCAACCGCTGCTCACCATCCGTGACTAGTAGGGTAATCCGTGACCCCAGCTCCGTGGCCAGGTGACTGATGGTGTCGGCAGCCACCCCCTGGAGAGATACCGACAGACCACTCCCGTACTGTCCCGGCCACCTCGGCTTCGTCATCTCCGGCCCTGTCGGACAGAACTGTGTCAGCTGACAGCAGTCGGACGGAGCTGCTGCCGGGTTGGGAGGCGGCTGACACTGTGGTGTCAAACCCTGACACAGACGACACTGACAAAGCCAGGGTCGATCGGCACTGTTGGACAGTAATTGAACATTGTGCACAATGCATGCGCTACGCTTATACATGCGTCAGTTTAAACCCGCGCCCAGATGGGGTCTGTCGAGCAACGCGGTCTGATGGGGGGGGCATTTTGGCCCCCCCCCTCATATCTCGAGAACCACGCAACATAGCGACAAGCGGTAAACGGTGTTGGATAGCCCCAACGGGGAACTACAATATGACCCAATTTCATTGACCTCGGTCAAACCGATGACGTCACAGGTCAGGTCAAAGGTCGAATTTTCACCGTTTACAGGCATTTCAAGAAATGCGTTGTAAAATCGTGTAAAATGCATTTCATTGAAAATCATCGATGGGGAAATGTTCTTCAAACACATATTCTGCTATTTGAGGTCACTGATACCAGGTCAGGTCACAGAGGTCAGGTGACTGGCGGGTCACAATATGAAAGTGTCGTGTGATACATGTTTTATGGTCATTTTACATGACAAATGCGATTATGTGGATCACACAGACTTTAGGGCCAGCTTAGGTCACGTTTTGGTCAAGGTCAGGTCAAGGTTAGGTCAAGATCAGGTCAAATTAGGTAAAATTTCAAAGTTGATATTTTTGCATAACATGGGTATCGATTCGATGCAGCTCGTCACGGGGAGTTCAATGGTGGTCTCCGTTTTGCGCTACCAGGTCTAGGATTGCTAAAAATAGAGTTCAAAAATTTGACGTCATCAATTTTTAAGTTTTTTTCGCTATAACTTGGACAAAAAAGGAGGTATCGATCTAAAATTTGGTATGTATATCGAAGAGTACAGGGACTATCACATATATCCCGTTTTTTTCGAAATTTGAAAAAAAATTGGAGTTTTTTTAGTTTTTCTAAAAAATCAATATTTTTGATTTTTGGGGATCGAAATCCCAAAATTTCGAAAATCGGAGATAGCAGTTTTGTAGCGCCGTCTTTTCTCTACACAACCACATAAAGAACTTTAAAATTGCTTGTTAACTGTAGAATTGGTGAGCGTTTCAAGATGTCATGTTTTTTGCTCATTTTTACTCGAACATGACCTCAGTTTGACCTCAATAACTCCTGACCTGAGGTGGCCTGTGACTTGAAATTTTGTGTGAAGGTGTCAAATTGATGCCCGGTAAGGTACCCAAAATTTGGCGGGTTCTGCGCGCCGCCGTTTTTCGCTATTTAAGAAAAACCACAGGGGGGGCCAAAATGGCCCCCCCATCAGGGCGCGGGTCCTCGCCCGCCCATGGGAGGGGGGGTTGCCACCCCCCCAGGTAGTCTTTCTGCTCTGCACTCAACATTTTTAGAGCTAGAAGGCTGATTTTTCGTATAGCTGCTCCTCTATCCCTTCTTGATGTCCACTGATAATTTCAAGTTTCTGCGGTTTTTGGTTTCGGAGATATGACCTTGTTTTTCAGGTCATGTCATGACCCAAATGGCCAATTCTCAACATCTTGCGTTGGCTATGGGCCTTGTGAGCTTTTGACACCTTGATTTCGACCTGTTATGCCAGTCTTACCTCCCATCTATCATGGAACATGTTGTTCGACGATGTACAGATGTCAAAGTCAGGGTCAAGGTCAACCTAGGTCATCTAAGATAATTGCGTTTTAGGCAAGCTAAATTAACTTTTTTTGAAGTTTTTTTACTGCATTTTTGGAAAAAGCTTCTCAGATCATGATTTCATGTAATATGGACACATAAACAATCGGTGCACACATCAGTATACACGCAGATACACACAGACATACAAACACATATCATTGACCTTGACCTAACTTGACCTGAAATGACCTCAGCAGCAAAAACCTGGTCGGATAGTGTGACAAAGAGGTTCTAGCTGGCTTGGCACCAGAAAACGGCATCGTCATCGGTATATGATAAGCAGCGCACTTGATATCCAACGGTGACCCAAAACAGCAACATTTTTTAGTTTGACCTGACCTGGAAGATCAATGACTGACCTGGGAAGGTAAAACTGGGTATCATTGGATTCGTCTCTTCCCAAAGAATCTTTTTGGTCTTTATCGCTAAGCTCTATCTCCAACAGGAACGAAATGGCGCGGGGTTGGCAACCCCCTCCCCCCCATGTGCGTTCTAGGATGGGAAAATGGCATGTGCGGGCGAGGGTTAATTAATACAGTTCAGTACATACAGGTCATACAGGTTCAGTACATACAGGTTCGTTTGCAAGAGTATAAAGTAGGTATGTACAATACAGTGGCTAATGTTTGTGTAGCATGTAGGTAGCATGGCACACATATGTCCGCTGAACGTTTATCACTGAAACTGTTACTTTATGTACTATGTAATTACCTACCACCATTCAGAAGTAATAGTACGCGTTTCCTCAACATATTCTTACCGGTAACGTATAGCGTCCTCAGTGACGTCGGCAGCAGCCGCAGCCACCGCCCCGTTCCGAAGGACGGGACCCTGACGGTCAGCTCCTCCAAGCGAGGAAGATTCTGCAGAAGCGCCGTCAGCTGATCCTCGCCAAGGTCTGACGGAGCGTCGAACGTCGTCACGGTCCTTAGCGCCTCTCTCAGCACTGTGGTATCACTGTCTGCCGGTGGCTGCGGCTCCGTCTGTACTATGACGTCATGAAACGCTTTTGTAATTTTACTGAAAAGACAAGAAAAAGGAACATAAATCAAAATGCAAAAGAAGTTCACAACTGTAGTTGGCTCCTTTGATGATCCGATATGCATTTAGGTAGGGGAGAGAGGTCATATTGCGCCACCTTAACCCTATTAGTGGCAGGGGGGGGGGTTGTTTTCATCCACCCCTCAGTTTTTTTTCGGGAATATCTCCGAAACCGCTGAAGCTACGATGCTGAAATTTTCTGACTTTTCCTAAAACTAAATTGGACACATTCCCTGAAAATTTCAAGTTCATAACTTTACCAGGGGCGGCTCCAGAGCACTGGGAATGGGGGGGGGTCTTATTCGTGAAGCGAGTCATTTGGGCGAAGATCACGATGCTGCACCAGTTTTACGAACAGTGAATGAAAGGTATCATGTGATAACATATAAAAAATTATTGTGCATCCCCTTTTGACACGTTTTTGCTATAATAGGTGGATCCAGGCGTCCAAAAAGGGGGGTCATGTTTTACCTCCCAACATAGGTGCCCTGACACCGCCTATGCATGACCAATACAATTGTAGTCGTTCTCTCATAAGAAAATTGTAACATAACAAGACCATTACCACCATTTTTAGAAACAGTACCAACAAAAACCTTATTTACTATACTTTTTGTGTACCCCCAATCTCAATGATCTGTATCCGCCTATGATTTTTGAAAATGCATATTTTTAGGATCCATGTGAATTCCTGGTTCATTCTCTATCGATGGGCAAAAGTTGCGTTAAGATTGGTTCAGAAACCTGGCCGTGATAAACAGTCTAAAATGTATCTGCAATTTGCCCGTTTTTACCCCCCTTCCCCCCCCCCCTATTGACATTTTTTATTTTAATTTTTTAGAAATGAGATCACGTGGAGCGAAATCGAATGCCGTTTGAATTTTGAAAATCGGCCCGTTAGATCTCGAGATTGTATCGTGTCAGACATTGTGATATTTATTCACTTTCGATGATAACACAAAAGCAAATATTCTAAATAGCCAGACGTTTCGGCCTCAGGGTGCCTTCGTCAGTGACAATACCGAGATACTAATACATTAATAAATTAATCAATATTTTACACTTTCAAAATACACATGACCTGGACATTTTTCAACCATTCTGCACATGATACTCGAGATTATAAAAACTAAGTAAATATACATTTTTGACACGTTCAACTTTTAAAGCATGACCTTTCGATAAGATGATAATTGATATGCTACACTTCTTTTTCTCTTATACAAACATACACAGCACAATTGTCGGGCATAACTGTTATCAGATGTCGTTCAGTCGTATTCTTCCTTTCGAGATTCATTCTTAAATGTTTTTTTTCTTCCTTTTCTTCTCCTTTTCGTTTTCCTTTCTACGTTTTCTTAGTTTTCTTTAACGCCATTTTGGCTCCGGATTTTGCCCATGTAAAGAAGCCCGGCTTCTCATTCACTGTGTTTTCCAAAGAGATGTGAGCTGCTTCCAAAGCCTTTCGTATTGATTTGGACATTCCTTTTTCTATGACCTCAGCCTGGTTCCAGTTCGGTAAAGTTTCACATGTTTCGATGTGTAAGACCATTGCATTTGAACGATTGTGATTTCTTACGTCGCGCTTATGTTCTTTGAGTCTTGTTTCTAAACCTCTTCCAGTTTCTCCTATGTACGACTTATTGCAAGCTCCCGAGCAGGGAATTTTGTACACTACACTTTCTTCATTTGTTATTTCACGTTTTCGTCGAGTCAAATTCGCAATTTTTCTACCAGAGACTACTGCTACGTTTGATCCGATGTCACGAAGCTGGTTCGATATCGAGTCGGCATGTTTCGAGTGAGGTATAGATATAAATCGTCCTCGTTTCTTTTGTTCTTGTTTTCGTTTTTTCTTTTCTTCCGCACTTCGTTTCCATATTTCTTCTGCTTTCTTTTTTGCCCTAATAATGAAGCCTTTTGGATACTGTAACTTTTCAAACGTATCAAAGATATGTCTAATCTCTTCTGTTAGAAAGTCGTCACTGCAAATCCGGAAAGCTCGTAAGAAAAATCCAATCACTATACCACTTTTTACGCGCTCACTATGACCCGATAAATAGTGTACGTAATCTTCCTTGTTCGTTGGTTTGCGGTACACTGAAAATTTTACCCCACTTCCACATCTCATTATGAGTGTGTCCAGAAAAGGTATTTTTCTGTCGTTTTCCTCGTTCGATCGTAAATTGAATTTTCTCTTCCACCTGATTGAGGTTTCGTAGTTTTTCGTCAAGGCAAACATCTTCCGGGACCACCACTAACACGTCATCAACATAACGGAGCCACGTACATTCATTTCCCATAATGCTTTTAAATCTGTTTTCTTCTAAGCGCTCCATATAAAAACAGGCAGCCACAGGACTGAGCGGAGAGCCCATCGCAAGCCCACTAAGCTGGGCATACTCTTGTCCGTTGAAAGAAAACGCATTGAAATGCATACAGAGTGAAATTAATTCTAAATAATGTGCTTTCGGTATCGGAAGTGATCGTTCGTCCAGCATATCAACCACCTCGTTTATCGCTTCCAATGCGCCTTCAACAGGTACGTTGGTGAATAGAGATTTTACGTCGAAGCTCGCCAATTTCTTGTTCGACATGTCGATGTTCTTAAGTCGTTCTATTAGTTCGGTTGAGTTTCTCAAATTTGCATCACTAAGGGATCCGAGTGCCCGTGTTAGAGGTTTGGCTAAGACTTTCGCTATTTTATGTGGCGCGCTGCCTATCCCTGATATAATTGGACGCATCGGGTTCCCTTCTTTATGTATCTTTGGCAGGCCCTTGAGCTGGGGAGACTTTGGAGACTCTTCCAGTAAGTTGAGGAGCTTTTTTCCCTTCTCCGATTTTCTTAAGATTTTCCTTGCGTTCTTGTTGAAGTGTGTGTTTTGCTTTTTACAGAAACCTGCTGCTTTTTGTGAATATGTTTCCACATCGGCCAAAAGATCGTTCAGTTTTTGATGATATGTTGGACTATCCATAATGACGATCCCACCACCCTTGTCTGCTTGAGTCACTAAGACATATTTATCCTTTGACAGTTCTTCCAATGCTTTTAAATATCGTTCAACATATCATCAAAAACTGAACGATCTTTTGGCCGATGTGGAAACATATTCACAAAAAGCAGCAGGTTTCTGTAAAAAGCAAAACACACACTTCAACAAGAACGCAAGGAAAATCTTAAGAAAATCGGAGAAGGGAAAAAAGCTCCTCAACTTACTGGAAGAGTCTCCAAAGTCTCCCCAGCTCAAGGGCCTGCCAAAGATACATAAAGAAGGGAACCCGATGCGTCCAATTATATCAGGGATAGGCAGCGCGCCACATAAAATAGCGAAAGTCTTAGCCAAACCTCTAACACGGGCACTCGGATCCCTTAGTGATGCAAATTTGAGAAACTCAACCGAACTAATAGAACGACTTAAGAACATCGACATGTCGAACAAGAAATTGGCGAGCTTCGACGTAAAATCTCTATTCACCAACGTACCTGTTGAAGGCGCATTGGAAGCGATAAACGAGGTGGTTGATATGCTGGACGAACGATCACTTCCGATACCGAAAGCACATTATTTAGAATTAATTTCACTCTGTATGCATTTCAATGCGTTTTCTTTCAACGGACAAGAGTATGCCCAGCTTAGTGGGCTTGCGATGGGCTCTCCGCTCAGTCCTGTGGCTGCCTGTTTTTATATGGAGCGCTTAGAAGAAAACAGATTTAAAAGCATTATGGGAAATTAATGTACGTGGCTCCGTTATGTTGATGACGTGTTAGTGGTGGTCCCGGAAGATGTTTGCCTTGACGAAAAACTACGAAACCTCAATCAGGTGGAAGAGAAAATTCAATTTACGATCGAACGAGAAAACGACAGAAAAATACCTTTTCTGGACACACTCATAATGAGATGTGGAAGTGGGGTAAAATTTTCAGTGTACCGCAAACCAACGAACAAGGAAGATTACGTACACTATTTATCGGGTCATAGTGAGCGCGTAAAAAGTGGTATAGTGATTGGATTTTTCTTACGAGCTTTCCGGATTTGCAGTGACGACTTTCTAACAGAAGAGATTAGACATATCTTTGATACGTTTGAAAAGTTACAGTATCCAAAAGGCTTCATTATTAGGGCAAAAAAGAAAGCAGAAGAAATATGGAAACGAAGTGCGGAAGAAAAGAAAAAACGAAAACAAGAACAAAAGAAACGAGGACGATTTATATCTATACCTCACTCGAAACATGCCGACTCGATATCGAACCAGCTTCGTGACATCGGATCAAACGTAGCAGTAGTCTCTGGTAGAAAAATTGCGAATTTGACTCGACGAAAACGTGAAATAACAAATGAAGAAAGTGTAGTGTACAAAATTCCCTGCTCGGGAGCTTGCAATAAGTCGTACATAGGAGAAACTGGAAGAGGTTTAGAAACAAGACTCAAAGAACATAAGCGCGACGTAAGAAATCACAATCGTTCAAATGCAATGGTCTTACACATCGAAACATGTGAAACTTTACCGAACTGGAACCAGGCTGAGGTCATAGAAAAAGGAATGTCCAAATCAATACGAAAGGCTTTGGAAGCAGCTCACATCTCTTTGGAAAACACAGTGAATGAGAAGCCGGGCTTCTTTACATGGGCAAAATCCGGAGCCAAAATGGCGTTAAAGAAAACTAAGAAAACGTAGAAAGGAAAACGAAAAGGAGAAGAAAAGGAAGAAAAAAAAACATTTAAGAATGAATCTCGAAAGGAAGAATACGACTGAACGACATCTGATAACAGTTATGCCCGACAATTGTGCTGTGTATGTTTGTATAAGAGAAAAAGAAGTGTAGCATATCAATTATCATCTTATCGAAAGGTCATGCTTTAAAAGTTGAACGTGTCAAAAATGTATATTTACTTAGTTTTTATAATCTCGAGTATCATGTGCAGAATGGTTGAAAAATGTCCAGGTCATGTGTATTTTGAAAGTGTAAAATATTGATT